TGTTTATTTTTCTGAACAGAGACCTTCCACAGTGACATTTTACTGCCCTGATAGTTAACATTTTATACGTGCACCAAGGTTACCTTCAGTCAGTACTCATCAAGACAAATCGTGGCGTTTTCTTAAAACTGCTGTTTTTACTTACTGCTGGATTTCAAACAACATAAGACATCTGGGGTGCCCGTTCCAATTAATCCCATCTGTTTTCATGTTCCTTCAAAGGGAATTTTGTCCAATAACAATCAATCAATCAGAATACAGCTGGAAGGGACCTTGGAGGTCTTATAGTCCAGTGATGGTGAATCTTTTAGAGACCGAGTGCCCAAACTGCAATCCAAAACCCACTTATTTATCACAAAGTGCCAGGGCCACATCAGCATTGTGGTGCCTCGGGGGGGGGGAGGGAGGCGCCTCTGAGTGCCGCCTCTGGCACGCAAAAACCAGGGGCGCAAAAATGGGCCACCGTGCTGCAAAGTGAAAAAATGGCTGCCGCCATGCCCAGGGTACAGATACAAGGCGCTGCACCACGCAGGAATGGGGCAGGGCTAGTGAGTATCACGCAGGCACTAGCCCCACCCCATTTGCAGCGCATGCATCCTCGCCGCCCCGTGTGCGCATGCGCACATGAAAATGCTTCCCCCACCCTTTTCTTCCAGTCCACCAATCGACAATGGTTGGTGACCTCTGCTCTACCACCTCTACTGGAGCTTGCTAGTGGGCCGCTTCGCCTCCTTTGTGCCTGGTGGGGCTCCTACTCCGGGCGGCAGTGGTGGTCTGATGGATCTGCTGCTGGTAGTGCGTGTGCCAACAGAGAGGGCTCTGAATGCCACCTCTGGCACCCGTGCCATAGGTTCGCCACCACTGCTATAGTCCATTCCCCCGCTCAGGCAAAAGACACTATGCCATTCCAGACAAATGGTTTTCCAGTCTCTTCTTAAAAACCTCCAATGATGGAGCAACCACGATTTCTGGAGGGAAGCTGTTCTACTGGTTAATTGTCCTCATTAAGAAACTTCTCCTTAATTCCAGATTGCTTCTCTCCTTGATTAGTTTGCATTCATTGTTTCTTGCACTGCCTTCTGGTGCTTTGGAAAATAAATTGACTGGCTTTTCTTTGTGGCAGCCCCTCAAATATTGGAACACTGCTGTCATGTCCCCCCTCGTCCTTCTCTTCATTAAACTAGACACACCCAATTCCAGCAACCGTTCCTTATATGTTTTAGACTCCAGTCCCCTAATCATCTTTGTTGCTCTTCTTTGCAGTTTTTCCCAAATCTCAACATCGTTTTTGTAATGTGGTGACCAAAACTGGATGCAGTATTCCAGGTTGTGCTCTACTAAGGTTTTATAAAGCGGTCCTCATGCTTCACCTGAATAACCTTTCTCTCCTTTGCTGGGCTTGCAAGGGTTTGCAATTCCTAAAAAAAAAAAAAAAAAAAAAAAAAATCTGCAAGCCTGGTTGTCATAACAGAGTATGCCTTTCATCAGTGATTTGAATTAACCTATTATAGAGAATGTCATTAAATGTATACTTACATATCCATTCATAGTCATAGTTATTCATTTGATTAGCTAAAATGTCCTTTTTCAGTTTAAAAAAAACAAAAAACCCTGAGTATTTATATATTAACGTGCTGGGCATCTTTATCACTCTTGGTAACAGTTGTTAAATTGTTTCAAATTGTATAACAAACAATTGTGACACTGTCTTGTCAAACTGGCCATATTTTTTATGTTAAACTAGAGCAGTGGTTCTCAACCTTTTTAATGCCGTGGCCCCCAACCGGTCATAAGTCGAGGACTACTCAACCGGTCGTAAGTCGAGGACTACTCAACTGGTGCAGCACCGTTTGCAGAATGGGACTTTTGGCAGGCTCAGCAGGGCAGAGACCGCCTGGACAATTCCTATTGGCTTTTGAAAGCCAATAGAATTAGACTCTATTCAAGAGAGTCTATTCTATTGACTTTCAAAAGCCAATAGAATAAAAGGGAGTAGCACAGCTAAGGAAAAGGGGGAAAAAATGGTGGACTGCGTTGTTTGGCGACTCCCGTGAAATAGTCGTTCGACCCCAAATGGGGTCCCGACCCACAGGTTGAGAACCACTGAACTAGAGCTACCTGTTTCTAAGCTGCAAAAATCTGGACCACCATTAGAGGGCAGAATAAATCAGTCTTTTTTTAAATGTCATTTCGCTGCCCTCTGGTGGTCCCCTGTATCGTTGCAGCCCACCTTTGACAGCCCTTGTTAAACAAAGCAGGTATTCACCTAAAATAGGATATTTGGAATTAAACCAGCGGCAGCCACTGGAAAAAAGGCACACATTGCACATTGACACACAGTGAGAAAGCCTCATTTATAACTAAATTTGTTTGAGCTCTTCCTTCTGCCAATCACAGATTCCACTGACTGAGCAACTTTGCCCACGAATAACACAGGGTGACCAGTTTTAAATATTCAGAAGTTTTCAAACAGAACACCGACGATGCAGTAAAACTTTCCTTTAAAGGTGGACTCTCCCAGTCTAGAAAATAAAACTCGGGAGAAGGGTATTTGGGAGGGATATTTAAATTTCCAGGTAACCCAGAGTTCTGGGTGGAATCCTGTTCAGCCACAGCCCAGCCGTGGGAGTTATTTGCAATGCAAGATTTTGCAGATTGCAATTTTCCTTCATGAAGATCCTCTGGGGTTTAGGACAAACCAGCTGAGAAGAGAAGAGTGGGGGGGGGGTGAAGTTTGTTTGGGCCAGGAGTTAAATCTAATAAGATGTTTTTTTTTTAAAAAAAAGCTTAGGCCACACTATGAAAGTCACACACACACACACACAAATTGATAAACACAGGTTAGGATGTTCTAAAGGAGATGTAGAAAAACAGAGCTGGGTATGGGATAAGCAGTTTGAATCTGTGGAAGAGATAACTCCCTATATACGACCTGTGGGCTTCAAAGAAGCCATAAGTTGCCCAGCCCTACAGTGAAGGATTGTTTGACACCCGTAGACTGCAAAATTTCAATTAATTCAGCAGAAAGGAAAAGGTGGAAGAGACAGGATCAGAAAAAGGAAAAGAAGTGAGGTTGTCCTGCAGGAATACAAGCTAATTTGAGGGCTAATCCCACATGGAGCTCCGTTTCCATCTGTCCTGTTTGCCATCGTTCACTCCCTAGAGACTATTATTATTATTAATTACTTACATTGTGACATTGCGATTCATGCACAAAACAAGCAGAGATTGTAGGCACAAGCCTGTTCTTTCTCTCTTTCTCTCTCTCTCTCTTTCTCTCTCTTTCGCTCTCTCTCTCTTCTCTCTCTCTCTCTCTCTCTCTCTCTCTCTCTCTCTCACACACACACACACACATACACAAGTGAGGGCAGTTTGCCTTATTTAAAACCAGCATGTGCAAAAGAATAAAGTCACAATTGCTTCTTCTGCATATTCCAAGGAGTTCCTGTACTGGAAGAACATCCAGTGAAAGGAGCATCAGTCATAAAGGGCTGGTCAGGTCCAACCAAACTGGGCATTGGGTAACTCAATTCAAGACAAATTTTCTTCCATTGGCAGAAATTTCTCTCTCCCCCCCCCTTTTTTTTTTTTACAATTTTCTCATCCAAAAAGAAAATAAATAAATAAAAATTGAAAATCCACTCCAGAGACTATATGGCTCATTTTATTTTCTGTTTTGACTTCCTTAAAATATTTATAGGCCACCCATTCTACAAATCTCAGGTCAGATACCTAGAACTAAAGAGAAACTTCCTGACAGAACAATTAACCAGTGGAACTCCTTGCCTCCAGAAGCGGTGAATGCTCCAACACTGGAAGTTTTTAAGAAGAGATTGGACGGCCATTGGTCCAAAATGGTATAGGGTTTCCTGTCTGAGCAGGGGGTTGGACTAGATGACCTCCAAGGTCCCTTCCAACTTTATTATTATTGTTGTTGTTGTTATTATGATTTCCAAGCTGGAAGAATATCACTAGAATTTATTTATTTATTTATTTATTTACAAATATTTATATGCCGCCCAATCCCAAAGGACTCAGGGCGGCGTACAAAATTAAAAAATTATGTCTATGGTTCCTTCAAAAGTGCCAGAGTTATTGTTGTTGTTATTGTTATTATTATTATTTATTATTATCAGAAAGCATTTCATCCGCCTTTATCCCAGGCAGGAAACCAAATGAATAAAAATGTAACAAAAGGCAAGGAAATATTGCCAAATCGTGGTTTAATGAAACATTAGTATGTAATATATTTTATTTGTTGTTGTTGTTAATTGCGAAGTCGTGTCCAACCCCATGGACAACGTTCCTCCAGGTCTTCCGGTCCTGTACATCATTTCATATGATGTAGCAAATGTAGTTTTGAAAAGGAGGGCAGAGCACTGTTAAGCTTTTTTTTTAAAGAAAAAACCTGCGTTTTCCTCCTCCAACCCCACGTCTTTTCCTCTCTTCTCGGCCCCTGTGGATCGAAAGGCTACTGAGCATGCGCGCAGGAGGTGAGAGGAACGTTCCTTCCCCCCCCCCTCCCAGCAATGTGCCAGGCAGGCGGCGGCGAAGAAACATTGAGCTCGGTCGCCTAGCGCGCTCCCTTCGGCAATTTCCGTCGTGGGCTCGGGTTGGGACTGACACGCCCCATCCCTAGAAAGGTGCGTTCGGGGGGGGGGGGAAGAGTTTAAAAAAAAAAAAGAGAGAGAGCTTCCCGAAGCCACTCGGCAGTCTCCGCCCGGCGAAGGCGAAGAAGCGCTCCTCGACGACCGGACTCTTTTTTTTTTTTTTAATTTCTCCTCGCGCGGGGTGCGGTAACCAGCTGCTCCTTCCGCCGCCTCTGATTGGACGCCTCGACGCCCCTGGCCGGCCGCCGCCTCCTTTCCCGGGCCGTGATTGGAACCGTGCCACTCCAAGGCGCGCCCCCTCCTTACCCCCCCCCGAGGGCACGCGCGCGAGCACGCGCGCCCGAGCCTCTGTCTTTTCTCTCCCCCCCCACCCTCCTTTTCCCGCGCATGCGCGTGGGCTAGCCCAAGGCGCCGTAAGAGGACCGACGGCAGCTCCACTCGGCCCCGGGCTTCAAAGCGGGCAGAGGCTGCCGTCGCCGCCGCCGCCGCTTCTCCGCGCACCGGCCAGGCCTCCGCTCCTTCGGCCGGAGGGAGCGCTTCGGACCCAGGCGATCCCGGGGGACGCCCCCGAGGACGATGCCCCGCGGGTGAGCGAGCGAGCGAGCGAGGGAGGCCCTCCCGGCCGGGCTCTTGGCGCAGCGGGACGGGCTGGGAGCTGCTTGCAGGACGGACGGGCGGGCGGGCGGGCGGGCGGGGGAGGGTGGAGGCGGAGAGGCCTTGCGCTGGGCCGGCGGTGGAGAAGGCTGGCCTGGAAGGGCCCCCTTGGAGGATGGAGAAGGGGCTGCGTTGGGGGGCTGCCCCTGAGGCGAGAGGGCGGCCTGGGAGTCGGTGGAGACTGAAAGAGCCCGGGGTCTCCCCTGGGCTGAGGGGAAGGGCGGGAAGGAAGGGCTGGTCCTCCTCCCTCCCCCCCTCTTGTTTCCTTCCTTTTTCTCTCCTTCCTTTCTTCCCTTCCTCCTCCTCCCTTGCCTCCTCCCATTCCTTCCTTCCCCCTTCTCTCCTTCCTTCCTTCCTTCCTTCCCTTCTCTCCTTCCTTCCCCTTCTCCCGCCCTTCCTTCCTTCCCCTTCTCTCCTTCCTTCCTTCCCCCTTCTCCCTTCCTTCCTTCCCCCTTCTTCCTTCCCTTCTCTCCTTCCTTCCTTCCCCTTCTTCCTTCCTTCCCTTCTCTCTTTCTTTCCTTCCTTCCCCTCTTCCTTCCTTCCCCTTCTTCCTTCCTTTCTCTCTTTCCTTCCCCCTTCTTCCTTCCTTCCCCTTCTCCCTCCCTTCCTTCCTTCCCCTTCTTCCTTCCTTCCCTTCTCTCTTTCCTTCCTTCCCCTTCTTCCTTCCTTCCCTTCTCTCTTTCCTTCCTTCCTTCCCCTTCTCCTTCCTTCCTTTCTTCTTCTCTCCTTCCTTCCCCCTTCTTTCCTTCCTTTCCCTTCTCTCCTTCCTTCCTTCCCCTTCTCCCTTCCTTCCCCTTCTCTCGTTCCTTCCTTCCCCTTCTCTCATTCCTTCCTTCTTCCTTCCTTCCCTTCTCTCTTTCTTTCCTTCTTCCCTCTTCCTTCCTTCCTTCCTTCCCTTTCTTCCTTCCTTTCTCTCTTTCCTTCCCCCTTCTTCCTTCCTTCCCCTTCTCCCTCCCTCCCTTCCTTCCCCTTCTTCCTTCCTTCCCTTCTCTCTTTCCTTCCTTCCCCTTCTTCCTTCCTTCCCTTCTCTCTTTCCTTCCTTCCTTCCCCTTCTCCTTTCCTTCCTTTCTTCTTCTCTCCTTCCTTCCCCCTTCTTTCCTTCCTTTCCCTTCTCTCCTTCCTTCCTTCCCCTTCTCCCTTCCTTCCCCTTCTCTCGTTCCTTCCTTCCCCTTCTCTCATTCCTTCCTTCTTCCTTCCTTCCCTTCTCTCTTTCTTTCCTTCCCCTCTTCCTTCCTTCCTTCCTTCCCTTTCTTCCTTCCTTTCTCTCTTTCCTTCCCCCTTCTTCCTTCCTTCCCCTTCCTTCCTTCCCTTCTCTCTTTCCTTCCTCCCTCCCTCCTCCTCTCTTCCCTTCTTTCCCTGGTTCCTTTTTAATTAAGGGGGTGGTTGCTTGTCCCTTCGACTGCACCCCTCGAAGTAAACAAAAAGGATCAAAGGAGCACCTAATTAGCAGCCTTAATTAAGCCGGAGTCATCCCTGCTCATCCGCAGGACACCCCAAATTAAAGTCATGGGGTAATCCGGTTGCACTTGGTTTGGAGAGCAGGGGAGGGAGAAATTGGTGGATTTCCCCTCTCCTTCCCCCCCCCCCCAAAAAGAGATCAGTATTTGGGGATGGATTGCCACCAGTCATTTGGAAAGGGCTAACGTAAAAAATCCTCTTCATTCGATTGTTGTTGATGGCTCCGTTGTTTTCTCTTGCTACAAATCCCGGTTAGATATATTGCTCCTCATTCATTTATTGTGTAAGGGAAGAAAATAAATCCAGTGACAGGGGTGGTAGAGAGGGTCATTTCCATAAAAGGCTACAAAAAAGAAAGTAAGCGAGAATGTTTGGGATGATTGGAAAATGCGTATTTTGTTCTTGCTGTGGGTTATATTCAGTGGGGAAAAAAACTGTTGCATTTGATCACCAGCTTTAAACTTCTCCCCTTCCAAATTTTTGGGCCACAGTACGTGCTGCTAGTGATAATAAGTTTTGTAGTCCAACTTTCCCAAAGAGTACCAGATAGGACAAGGATAATTTGGATGTAGCCCAAACTCTAGAAATGTTGGTTGTTAAGATGCACGGATCCTTAAACTCAGTCTAATGTTTCTTTGTACTTTTGTTTCCTCTGTCTGTTGTGTATACCCCATTTGGGAAAGAGCAAATAGGATGTGTGACTAATTTTCCAGAGGGGGTGGGCTAATAGTTCTCATGGTCTTCCACAGTGTTTAGCTTTTCTTTTATACGAGATTATCACGTGAAAAAACATTTCTGGAGAAAAACACGTTTCCACATTTGCCAGTAACAATAAAATAAATTTATGAGATGTTTTAACAGGTGTATCTTCTCATGCAAATCCATGGCAACTTGAATTGCAAGTGGTGATATGATCATCTAGAAAATACGTTTTTGTTCTTGTTATATGCAGTTTATGAATCCATTTGGAATTAAACATCTCTCTTAACATTAGCTTCTGCATTCTCTAGCGAGTCTCCAATCAACGTAGTGCATTTTTTAAAAAAAAAATATTGCATTTGTAGTGAGGCTGGAATGCACACTTCTGGTTAAGCTGTTTATGTCGACTATGTGTCATGGGTCTTGCTTACAATGCTCGGGAAAGTGGAAGATGTTTACCTCTTAGTAAGAAAGTTAAGATATTAAACAGCAGTTTGAAGTCTTCAACTTGTTCTTTTTATTAATCTGTAGGAATATGCTGACTGTTATTTGTTCAAGGCCTGTATTGTTTCCATTTGGAACGTGATATGATATGTCAGTAGTTACAGTGTTTGTGTTAACCGGATGATAATAAGCGAAAGTGAGGTTTCTGAGTCCAGTAGCTGATGTACAATAGGTGATTTCTTTCATATATATATGTGTGTGTGTGTGTGTGTGTGTTTTCTGAGGTTTTTGCAGGTGTTTGTATGTAGGTCTTTGGTTATTCAGGTTTTCTCCCACGTAAAATTGGAAGTGTCTTGGCGAAGTTTCGGCGAAGTCCCATTCATCATCTTCAGGCTGGTGTTTTCAGCTTTGTGCTTCGAGCTTGCTCCTCGAAGTACGAAGCTGAAAACACCAGCCTGAAGATGACGAGTGGGACTTCGTCGAAACGTCGCCAAGACACTTCCAATTTTACGCGGGAGAAAACCCGAATAACCAAAGACCTACCTATCTACCTACCTACCTATATACATATATATATACATATATATATATACATACATATATATATATATATATATATAAATAAAATTGATTTTTTAGAATAACAAATATTTAGCGCTTAGTAAACAACCTGTTGTCTGGGTTCATATATTTAACAACAATCAGTTGATTTCTGTGCTTTCATAATCAACATACTAACTAGAAATACATTTCCTTGGTCTTCTCTTCTTCCAATAGTATTCTCCTTTTACCAACATTGAACAGATATGGTTCTTAGTACTTTCAATACATACAAAGTTCAATATAAACATTTTTTCTAGTATTTAACAATAACCTCAATATGTAATGTCTTTTCCAATCGGCTTATTTTACAGTTGCATTTGCAAAAAAAATCATCTTACATAAATCACTGTAAGTCCTGTTTTCAGAACTCTTATTTAAGCTTGGTTTCCCCTCAGTGTTCAAAACATTGCTGGTCGGTTGTAATTTTCTCAAAATTGATTGCATTTAAATACCCAAAACATTTCATAAATTTAAATCATCCCGGTGTTTTTACATTTCCAAACGTCATAAAAACAAATACTATAAATCACATCTTTTTTTGGACTTCTTCTTTGAATAGCAACATTGGAAAGCCTGCTGAGAAGCAACCCTACGTTTGTACCATCCAAATACAAGATGCTAGTAGGCTTGACAATAAAATACTCTCATATCCGGATGAGGAGGCTCCCTCTGCGTCCCGTCCCTTAGGGAATATCACCTGCCTGAATCCCAGGTTGGGCCTGTACAAATCATTGCCTCCCATCTCTGGAATGACGCTCTCCTAAGTGCAGACAGGCTACAGTCCTGCTAATCTTTCAAAGTCTTTCAAAGCACCTTTGAGCTGGCTATTTCTTTGAGAACCCTGTAAATCAGGGGATCTCAACCTTGGCAACTTTTTTAAGACTTGTGGACTTCAACTCCCAGAATTCCTCAGCCAGCAAAGCTGGGAGTTGAAGTCCACAAGTCTTAAAGTTGCCAAGGTTGAGAACCCCTGCTGTAGATCATCTTAGTTTCTCCTAGAACAGTGGTTCTCAACCTTTTTAATGCCGCGACCCCCAACCGTAAGTTGTAAGTCGAGGACTACTCAACTGGTGCAGCACCGTTTGCAGAATGGGACTTTTGGCGGGTTCAGCAGGCCAGAGACAGCCTGGACAATTCCTATTGGCTTTTGAAAGCCAATAGAATTAGACTCTATTCAAGAGAGTCTATTCTTTTGGCTTTCAAAAGCCAATAGAATAAAAGGGAGTAGCACAGCTAAGGAAAAGGGGGGGGGGAAATGGCGGACTGCGTTGTTTGGCGACCCCTGTGAAATGGTCGTTCGACCCCAAATGGGGTCCCGACCCCCAGGTTGAGAACCACTGTCCTAGAAGGTGGTTGCATTGTGACCTTTGGGGTGTTATTTATTACCTTATGTTTAGTCTTTCATCGTATTCCTGTTCTGGAGGTCTGTAAGCCATTCAGCTCAGATTGGATCACCATATAGGCTTAGCACCCACGTATAAATATTTGAATTTCATCACCAGCAATGGGGAAGATTCCTTTATTATTCTTTCCTTTGCTGCTCTGGAGGCTTAGAAGTCTTTCAGCTGCAGATTGTGGGAATAGAGAAGTGGTAGGAGAGCCCTGCTGTGTGAAGATAACACTGTTTGTGTACCACTGGATACTTCCCAGTATATTTTAATTTTGTGCCCACAGTAAAAAAAAAAAAAATGACAAGGTTATCTTACCTAATTTTGAAGCAGAAATGGAC